ATTGATTTTGCCCTCCCCACTTGGGGAGCACAAATTGGTTCTGCCCATTAGCAGAAACAATTCCCTGAAAGGAATTATAAATCAGGCCCTGTGTCCACCCATCCCTCACAGCGCTGTGTGCCCACGTGGGGAAGTGTCAGGCAGGGAGACAGAGCGCTTGAGGGCCAGGGCAGGTCCCCACAGTCATGCAGCTTCTCCCCTAAACCAGATGGAGGGAGGCCTCAGCCGACAGAAGGAGTGCCTGAAAAAGGTCCCAGCACAGAGGGCTCAACGAGCAACAAGTGTGTGCTGACTGAGTACAGGGACAGAGAAAGGGGCCTTGAAAGCCTCTTGATTTGACCCACACCCACCAGTTCTGCCATTCCATTAACCACCCTTTGGCTCTGTGGCCTTGGGTTTTTCCTAAGGACCCAGTAAACTGGCAGTGCTCCTGGGAAGGATTCTATCTAAATTCCCGTCAGGTCTCTGGATGTGCGAAAAGTGAACATGAAGACAGGACCCAGGGTGCAGGTGCGAGGAGAGGAGAACACCAGAAGGGAAGGGCAAGTGGCCGGGCAAGGGGAGACAACATTGCCGGTGCACAGGAGGTCCCCGGTAAGTAGGCCACAAGTGAATGGACTGTCTTGCTCCCGATGAACCTGCCCAGGACCAGAGGCGGAAGGAGGAGGGGAGCGGGGGCTCCAGGGAGGACTGATCCAGCCCTCCTTCCAGCCCAACACATCAGAGACCTACCTCTGGCCCCCTGCACCCACCCTTTTCTCCCACACAGGTAGTCCACGCTCTTCCCCTTCATTTCCTTCCACCCGAGAACCACCAACATTCCCCATGGACCGTGTCCAGGACCGTCAAGGCCGCTCAGGCTACAGGGGATGCTAAGACCTGAGATCCCCCAGACATCCACAGATGAGCTTTCTAAATGATACAGGAGAGAACGCGTCACACATTGAGCTTCTCTAGGGCAATAAAATAGGATTTGATTATTACATGGTCTTGCAGGTGTAGCTACAACCCTAGCTTAACGTCAGGAATTAGCAAGTGTGTAGTGATGGGATGGTGGCCAACACCTTGTCATCCCATCTCTCCGGACCAGAAAGAGAAGTCTTGACACTTCCTTCCTCCTCTAAGACGAGCCCACGTCCCAGCATGGTGCTGTCTGGGAAAGCCCTGGGTGCAGAAGAGCGTCGTACAGGAGAGCTTGAGATCCCCAGGTGGCTTTGGGGAACCTAGAACATGTAGGATGGCAGAGAAGGCAGCTGCCAGGCTGGGCTGGGCCCCACCTAAACCCCGGGATGGATGAGGTGCTTCAGAGGACACAGAGGACACCGCGGCCTGCCCTCCGCACCAGTTATGGCGCTGAGATGTCCCCATGTTTAGCCTCCACATCCTGCCCTCACCTCGGCTCCCTGGGATTTAGTGTTCCCGTTCGGGCCTCAGAGCAGATTAAGACCCTATGATGCTCCAGCTCTCCTGATTGGATATCCCCGTACTTGGGATGGTAAAATTCTCCCCCCTGGCTTTTACTTCTTACCATCTCTCTCTTCCCCTCCCTCGCCCTGGACATACATGGCCACCGTCTCTGCCTCCCCATAGCCCCTTCCAAGGGACACGTGTCTGTGTGCGGCCCCCATGCCCCTGGTTGGGCCAGAGAGGCTGAAGGTAGTGCTGACACAAGGATGGCCAGACACCTGTGAAGTGGCCCATGTGAAAAGGCTCCCTCAGACCCTTGGCCTCTCACCCCAGAGGACCTGAGGCAAAGAGTAGCAAGAGGAAGAACAGGGGACACAGTAGCTGACACTGATGGGATGCCGGGGGTGGCCTGGAGCAGAATTCTGTCCCAGCAGAGGGAGGCTGGGACGAGCAGAGGGGCCACCCTGCAAGGAGAGGGGACGGAGTCCATGAACGGTCAGGAGTGAAGACACGGGCTGGGTTGTTCCAGAACCCTGGCGGCTCCTGGTTTCCGACCACAAATTGTTTCAATTACTTAAGATAACTGGAGTGTGTTCCTATTCCTTCCAACCCAAATAAGCCTTGAACTGTGAAAACAACAACAACAATGGCAAAAACTTGTGTAGCCACTGGGGACTCACAGGACACCTAATAGTGGCTTGAACAAAGAGGGGTTATGTTTCTAACATTTTTGAAACCTAGAGATGGGTGTGCCCAGGAATGGGCAGAGCATCTTTGCAACACCCTTGGCCATTCCCTCAAGGACACGAGGTGGCTCGGCAGGGCCAGTCCTCTGTGTGAGGGGGGCAGTGGGGCCCGCTGCAGCTGAGGCCTCTGTGGGGACAGAGCGGCTTTACCCCACACCTCCACAGCAGGCTCCACACTCATCCAATTGGCCAGAACTGAGTCACATGGCTGCCCCGGCTGCTAGGGAGCCCCGAAAGTGTGTGCCAGGGGCACCATCCATCCTCCGATCCCCTCCCCATTTCTGTGCCCCTCTTCCCCCTCTTTAATGTGTTTTTTGCTTCTAATGATGTGGCCTGCCTATCACCTGGGACTCCATGGACCGTCCTCAGGCTACCAGAGCTGTTCTGCCTGCTGCAACTGGCGGGTGTGGGATTATGAAAGTCCAGCTCCCCTGCCTCCACCTGGGACCAGGGTGTGCATTCCCCACCAGGGCTCTCCGGGAACCAGGCGGAGCTGGGACTACGGTCCCTTGTGTGGCCCCACCTGCCCTACATTCTTATCGGCCCTCCCCTAGTCTGCTGTTCACACACAAATCCCGCTCTCAGGACTGCTCCCAGAGACCCCGATGAAGAGCCTGGGGAGCAGGTTTATCATGATGGGTTGGACGGATCACGCTCCATTGCCTGGAGCCGACATGTACACACACACGTGGGGCTCTGTTAGCTGGGAGGGAGGGAAAGGGTGCGGGCAGAGGCTTGTGTTGTCCACTGCCCCAGCTCATCAGACAAAACGTGAGCAGGGAACTTGATTCTCACACAGGGCCAGTATGAAGGTACAACGGTGTGGCTGCTTGGGGAAAATAGTCTGGCACTTCTCAGAAAGTTCGAGTGACCACACGACCAGTACTCCACTCCTGGAGACATGAAAACATACATCTTCACAAACACTTGTCCACGAATATTCGTGGCAGCATCATTCATAAGAGCCGAGAAGTAGAAACAACTCAAATATCTATCAGCTGACGCATGGTTAAGTAAAATTCTCTTCTCTGTCCTACGGAAAAGGACACAGCTCTAAAGAAGGACGAAGTACTGAGATGTGTCCCATGGTACGGGTGAACCTTGAAAACACCAAACCAAGGGGCCAGGCGCAAGAAGCCCCGTATGGTATCATAGCACGTCTATGAAATGTCCACAATAGAGAAACCTAGATAGAAAGCAGATGGATGGCTGCGTGAGGCTGAGGGGGCAAGCTGGGTAGATGGGGAGGATAGCTAAGAGTGGATAGGGGATTGGGGACATAGCATGATTCTGAACATACTAAAAGCCATTCAACTGTATACTTTAAAACTGTTAAGTGTCTGGCTTTGGCTCGGGTCATGATCCCAGGGTACTGGAATCAAGTCTCACATCCGGCTCCTTGCTCAGTGGAGAGACTGCTTCTCCCTCTTCATCTGCCCTTCCCCCTCCTCATACTCTCTCTCTCTCTCTCTCAAATAAATAATAAAATCTTTTTAAAAAATAATAAATGTGGGGGCGCCTGGGTGGCTCAGTGGTTTAAGCCTCTGCCTTCAGCTCAGGTCATGATCTCGGGGTCCTGGGATCGAGCCCCACATCGGGCTCTCTGCTCAGCGGGGAGCCTGCTTCTCCCTCTCTCTCTGCCTGCCTCTCTGCCTACTTGTGATCTGTCTCTCTCTGTGTCAAAGAAATAAATAAAAATAATAATAATAATAAATGTGTGAATGATACGGTATGTGAATTATATCTCAATAAAGCTATTGCAAATACACACACAAGCAAAGAAGAGGAAAACACCCTCAATTCCACTCCCCTGAGAGAACCCTGTGAACATCTCAGGTCAGGATATACTTCGAGCTTCTTTTTTGTTCATGCATATATCTTGTTGTGGTATGCTCTGAAGGCAACCTGCTGAAGAACTTCAGGCACGGAAAACCATCAGCAAAAGCTAGGAAGCAAGTGTGTCCAACTGCTTAGGAACATCAACCCCAATACCGCTCCTGATCGAGGCTGTTATATGTCTATTTGCTTTGCCCTGATTTGTCACCGAGTTTACTTACCCTCGGGTTTCCCCAATAGGCAGGTCAATCCTCCCAGCCCCATTCTGTAGCCAGGGCAACTGAGCACAAGGCAGAGTCACACCCATCCCGATTTATTTTTTTCGTAAGGTTTTATTCATTTATTTAGTTAGTTAGTTAGTTAGTTATTTGAGAAAGAGAGACAGCATGAGTGGGAGAGGTAAAGGAGGAGGGAGAAATAGAATCTCAAGCAGATTCCACGCTGAAGAGGGAGCCCGATGCGGGGCTTGATCCCAGGACCCTGAGAGCATGACCTGAGCTGAAACCAAGAGTCAGATGCTCAAATGACTGATCAATCCAGGTGCCCTCCCCCCACCAACATCCTGATTTCTTCCCAGCTTGGGGCCTGAAGCATTATGGATGAAAGACTGGGGGCTGCGGAGGGCGCCCCTTCAGACCAGGGCAGAACAGGGGGAAGCATTTGATTTGGTCCAGAAGTACCCATCAACCTAGAGGCCAAGGACAAGGCAAGATGACCTCAGGAGGACCCTATAGGTCTCTTTGAGGGGTCCATGCCACTGACTTGTGCTCGCCATGGTGGAAAAAAAAAAAAAAAGGCTGGTTGGGGGTGGCAGGCCTGTTTGCACTGGAGGCACTTAGCGCAGCCAAGCTGAGCCGCACTGTTCAAACAGACTCCCTGGCCTCCAGACACCTGTGCTGAGGAGGACGAGAAGAGCGAAGCAGGCAGGAGGCTGGGCTCGGGTCCCTGCGCACGTTCCACCTCTCCTCCCACAGGCAGCCCCCCAGGCCCCGGCAGCGTCCTGGCCACATCATGCCCCGAGCTGGGCTCTGCAGCTGCTGGGGAGGCCGGGTGCTGCCCCTGCTGCTGGCCTATGTCTGCTACCTGCTGCTCGGTGCCACTGTCTTCCAGCTGCTGGAGAAGCAGGCGGAGGCTCAGTCCAGAGACCAGTTCCAGTTTGAGAAGCTGCGCTTCCTGGAGAACTACACCTGCCTGGACCAGCGGGCCCTGGAGCAGTTTGTACAGGTGAAGGGGAGAGGCTGGTGTGGGATGGCGGGCGGAGTGCGGTTCTCACGGCAGGTCCAGAGCTGCCCCCCAGGGGCCGGTGCCCTGTTCGGACGCAGCGCATGCCACCTGAGCCCTGGGCTGGGTTCTGGCCCCGGGTCCAGAACCAGATTGCCATGCCGCATCGAGCCAGCCGCTTCCACCCGCTGGCCCCAAACGTCCTCCTCTACAAGGTGAGGAGAATAACCTCATGTGAGCTGCAGACATTTACAGCAAATCAAAAGCACCTTTTTAAGCTGACACTCACGGCATAAACGTGAACTGCGTGTCAGTGTTATCAGCATTGCAAATGTCCTTCTCCCACACTCTGCCCTTCCCCTCTCCAACTGCACAGCTGCTAATCCTGCTGTCCTCTCCCTGCTCACACCCATGAGGGCTGACCACACGTGAGGGCTGTGGGGGCGGAAGACACAAAGATAGATGGGGAGCCAGGGCCAGGGAGACAGCCCCAGCAAGGTGTCCTTAGGGGGAGGTCTCTGGTTGCAAAGCTGTTCCCTCCGCCTGACCTGGGCCCCTTCTGCTTCCCTGCACAAACTCTGGGGCCCCAGCACCCTCTCATCAAGAAGCAAGGCAAAACCACAGTGTCGTGAACGCCTTGGAGACCAGGGGGCCCCGTGAATGACAATACCCACCAGGAAGGATGAAGCCCAGCGCGGAGTCATCACAAAGACAAATGACACTTAGTGGGCTTGCCTAAAACAGTGGGGAATCCATGCATCCTGATGCGGTCAGAGCAGTCAAGCTGCATCTTCTGGAGCTGAGCGTTTTGTATGTGTTTCCTCATAACCTATTACCATCACTGTCTCCAGTCGGCAGGTGGAAACTGAGGCACAGAGGGGTGGAGTGTTGGCAAGACTGCAGGGTGAGTGATAGAGACAAAACTCACCCCAGGCCAGATGCTCTTCACCATACAAATTAGCATAAGAGCGGGGTTGGGGGCCTGTAAAATAGGGCCTAGAGCAGCGGTTCCTCAAGTGTGGACCAGATATGACTGCATCACATGGGAGAGTCCTTTGGGAATGCCAGCAATGGCACCCAGCCCCAGACCCTTGGAATCAGCAGCTCTGGGGGCAGCCCAGCAACCTGTCCTTCATCAGTCCTCCAGACCATGCCCATACCCTCAAGATGGAGGTGAGATGACATAGAAGATGATGGGTGGGCTGAGTGTTCAGAGAGAACTTTCTGGAGATGTGAGACCCCTGTCCACATCTTGCTCCCAGGAAATGAGGATTCTTTGCTCTCCTGCAGTATAGACCTGGGGTCATGGCACCCCTGTGGGGCTGAGAAGGGCTCTGGAGCCTCCCAAGACCTTGGGGAATAAGGCAGAAGCCCCGGAGTCCATGATACCTCCTCCTCCCTCAGCCTAGGGTTAGAGGCGAAACCCAGGAGCTAGAGGGTGCTAGAAGGATTGGAAGCTGTGATCTAACCAGCTCTGTAAACAGAGGTGGGAGACAACAGGCTTGATGGGAGCCCCAGCTGCTGATTAATGACACCCTGCCCTGGCCTCCTCAGGGGAGCGAGGATACCCCTGTCCTCAGCCTCCTGGGGAGGGAGCGTCAGTTGCCAGGGATGCCCGGCTGACAGGAAGAACTCTGGTCTAGAATTCCAGAACACATATTACTGGTACAATCACGAGAGGAAAAAGCTGTTAGCAGCACCAGAAGCTGTATTAGAGACTCCTCCATAGGGAAAAGGCCTTGCCCGGTGTCACAGGACTCATGTCTGACTTTCCCAACTACATGTGGATTCTTAGAGAAAAATGGAAGGTTGCACTGGGGGCCCCACCCTCAGTACCCTCACCGAATCAAGGCCGCTTCCTTAGCAGGATGGAGATCTTCAGGTTGGCTGTGGGAGACAGCTGGGCCCAGGGCAAGTGCTGCTCCCAAGAGGGAGGGTCTCCAGGGAGCCAGCGTGTTCCAGAATGTTCCTTCCAGGCCTCTCGGGGTGTGTGGGAAAGGGAGGGAGACCAAAGTCCACATTCGAAGAGACCAGTTCTGCCAAAGTGAAGAAAAGCAGACAGCCTGTGTCATGACTCCCAGATTGGCCCAGCCTACCAGGGCCACCCCACCCTGGCAGGAAGCACGCTCATGCAGCCAGTGGGGAAAAGGTTCTCACGGGAACTAGGGGCTGGAGTTGCCCTTCCCCCACTGCCTCCTCCTGCTTTGGGGGCTCTATCAAGTGGCAAGGCGGTGCTGCTGCCTGGGACAATGCACGGGGACAGGATGGGACTGGGGGGCAGACTGGAGAGGGACTCCTAACCATCTCCAAGAGGCCTGGGCCTAGGGACGCAGGGGCTTTGGTTGAGCCCACAAGCGTTCAGTTTGTGTAAACACACTCAACACACATGCACACACATGCAACTTGGAGAACCCATGCACGTCACAGGCATCCAACACACCACCCAGAAACACTGCTACACACCCGACCTTTGCCCAGGCCTCTGATGGAATTTCCCTTACCCGTAGTCCCAGGCTGGGAGTCACTAGGGGGCAGCAAAGAGCAAAGCCGCCTGCTCACCTGGAAGTTTGGAGAACACAGGATTCTAGGGCTCCACCATACACCCTGTTGGGAAGGCAGACCCATGGCTTTCCTGTGGTCCCCCAAACCCCACATTCCCCAGTAATCCCTTCTGGAAGCATCTGACCTGAAGTCGTCCCATTGTCCTCACAACACACCTACGCCTCACCCTCTTGGCCATTGGCAGCCTCTCCCACGTGGCCCACCCCATAAGCACCCTCTGCCTCCTTAGGCCTCATCTCCCCTTCCCCAGCCCATGTTTACAGCTCACGTGGCAGTCAGCCCTGGCCCATGGAACAAGCCGTGGATTTGGAATCCAACGACCCTGGACAAGTCGTTTATTTAGCTACTCAGGCGGAGCCCTGGTTTCCTTTCCTACAAAATGGAAGCAAGAGCCTCTAATATCATTAAATGAGATAACAGGAAAGCACCCTGCTTGTCCACCAGCTGATGCCTCTGCTGCCTCCACCTCTGACCCCATCCCAACCTCCCCTCCCCCGCCCCAACAGGTCATCATGGAAGCCTGGGTGAAGGGTGTTAACCCCAAGGGCAACTCCACCAACCCCAGCAACTGGGACTTTGGCAGCAGCTTCTTCTTCGCAGGCACAGTTGTCACCACCATAGGTAAAGGGCTGGGGTGGGGAAGGGCTTCCCCAAAGCCCCTGTCTTGGTTTGGGTTCCCCAGAGCAGAGGCTGAGACCAGGATATGGTTTGTCTAAGAGATGATGCCAGGAAGCGCGAGCAGAGAGGTGGGAAGGCCGGGCAGGAGAGGAGAAAGTGCAGCAAAGTTCGCGTTGAAGAGCAGGGTCCCAGGGAGGGCCACTGGTCTCGCTCCTACCTGGACCCTCTCAGAGGGCAGGCAGAGCTCATCCTCAGAACGGTGCCCGTGAGGGGCGAGGAAGCAGGGCTATTTACCTACCAGCTCCTGCCCTCGCTGGATGAGAGCTGATCCCAGATCAGCTCTCCAGGATTTGGAACTTGCCCATACACCCAGCATACTCTCAGGTAGAGAGAGATGCAGGGACTCGGGATTCAGATCCACCTGTGTATATAGAAACCGCCCCACCCCCCAGCTGCAGGGGATGCCCCAGGTGTTCCGAGGGGATAGGCCACCCAACAGCACCTGCTATACCCCCTCACATAGAAAACTGACACCACTTCTCCCAAGGAAACCCCAGACCTCCCATATCCTTGGCCTCCCCATCCATTCAATTAAGTTCGATTCCACTCACCTTCCTTGACCTCAGGGGACAACTGTAGCAGAAGGAGTGGCGGGTGGGTAGGGAGGGTACAGACTTGGATCAGATCCAGGCTCAGCCCTCAAGGAGCTTCTAATCCAATGAAGAGGAATGAGATAAGCACGCAAAAAACAATAGTACAAGGCAAAGTAGATAATTAGACAGGAATGACACAAAGCACTATAAGGAACACTCCTAGTAGGGAGGAAGACAGTGGCAGTCAAGAGGGCTTCCCTAGAGACAGTGTCCTTGGAGATGTGCCTTTCAAACACAAGCAGGATTTTTTTTAAAGATTTTATTTATTTATTTGACAGACAGATATCACAGGCAGGCAGAGAGAGAGGAAGGGAAGCAGACTCCCTGCTGAGCAGAAAGTCCGATACAGGGCTGGATCGATCCCAGGACCCTGGGATTATGACCTGAGCTGAAGGCAGAGGCTTTAACCCACTGAGCCACCCAGGCGCCCCCACAAGCAGAATTCTTATGAAGAGAGATCATTCTAGTGGGGCGGGGGGTGGGTGGCAGCAGAGAGAATGTTCTTGGGAACAGAGGAGCTTCCCCTCCACCCCCAGAGGTAGTGGAACACCACCTCTGCTCCATTCTGTGGGGGAGGCCATTCTGAACTCTCCTCCATATTTGCACACTCCTCCTCCCCCTGCAGGATATGGTAACCTGGCACCCAGCACGGAGGCAGGCCAGGTCTTCTGCGTCTTCTACGCCCTGGTGGGCATCCCACTCAACGTGGTCTTCTTCAACCACCTGGGCGCAGGCCTGCATGGCCACCTGGCTACCCTGGAGAGGTGGGAGGAGCAGCCCAGGCGCTCCCAGGTAGGGCCCCTTCCCACTTCCAGCCCTGCCGCAATGGGATCAGTTGCAGGGTGAAAACGGAGATTGACACCAAGACGCAGTTTCACTGGCAAGGTCTTAAGGGTTGATGCCTGTGGAAGAAAGGGCCCTGCAGAGGGAGAAGGTGAATTGTGATTGGGCTGGAATGAAGACTTGGACAGCCCCTCCCGGAGTTCAGCACTGTATGTGTGGCCATCGGAGTTGGCCCCACAGGGGGCTGAATTGGCCAGAGGTTTATTCCCTGGTGTCCATCAGGCACAGGGTGGCCTTCCTGGGTAGGGTGTGCCCTTAAGCCAGACAGTCCTCTGTAGCCAAGGGCCACCTCCAAAGAGCTGAGAGCTGGAGGCCACTGGCTGAAGGCTGGTCAACAAGGTTTTCTTTGCAGGGGGATCTGGGTGGCACATCCTTGCGGTCATCACAGAGCTCCAGCACCTCCCCTTGTGGTTGAAAATAAGCTCCAGGCCACCCAGCACACCCCCAGTGCCCACCAGCTTGGACAGCTTGCAAAGCCAGGCGCATGAAGGAGAGCCAAGGTGCAGAGGAATCTGGGATAGTTCAGATCAGAGTCCCCGTGGGCCTATCCAAGTGTGATCTCCAGGCCCAGAGGAGTCTCCAGATTCCAGTCTGACCCACTAATGGAATCCCTCTGACCAAATATTTCCCCGGCCTGGGCAAGAGCGCACACACACAGTACAACCCCTACCCCAAAGGTCTGCAGGCAAGGAAGGGACATAACTATGGCCTAGCTCCACTCCCAGATTTGTGTCCGCCCACTCCCCCCCCCCCCACATACACACATACACACATACACAGTCCTGGGGCTTTCCAAGTAGACTGAGAGGCAGACTCTCTCTCTCCCAGCTGCTGCAGATCCTTGGCCTGGCTCTGTTCCTGACCCTGGGGACGCTGGTCATTCTCATCTTCCCGCCCATGGTCTTCAGCCATGTGGAGGGCTGGAGCTTTGGGGAAGGCTTCTACTTCGCCTTCATCACTCTCAGCACCATTGGCTTCGGGGACTATGTTGTCGGTGAGAACAAGGCAGTCACATAGCTCAGGGTGGGGGCCACGGGGATTCGGGGGATGGGGACATGTCTGCAGGTGGTAACCCTTGAGCATCAGATCGTCCCTGGGTATCCGGGGGAGACCATCGGTTTGTGAGGCTGCTGAGGATTCTAACAGCCTTAGACATCTGAGGCCTGGGACACATGGCCCTTTCCCCTGGGGAACCCCACTATAGATCCTTGTTATGGAGAGACCGGCGGGGACCCCTATGGAAACTGGGGCGATGGGGATTGTGCCCTCGGATCCCTGGCATGTATCATGTCTCATTCCCTGCCAGGCACAGACCCCAGCAAGCATTACATCTCCGTGTACCGGAGCCTGGCCGCCCTCTGGATCCTCCTGGGCCTGGCATGGCTGGCACTGATCCTCCCACTAGGCCCTCTGCTTCTGCATAGGTGCTCCCAGCTCTGGCTGCTCAGCAGGGGACTCAGCCTCAAGGACCGGGGAGCCCCTGAGATGGATGGGCTCCCCAGACCTCAGAAGATCCCCATCTCTGCATGACATCTCCAGGGGCCTCAGGAGCCCTTCCCACTTCCCCAACACTTGTATGCCTTCCGGACTTCCTGTTCTGTGTCCTTTCCCACTCTCTTCCTAGCCAGAGCTGGTCTCAGGAGCTCTCCAGAGAGCAAAGGAGATGGGTTACCCAAGCAAGTCACTGCAAGGAGATGTAGGACAGGATGAAGGACAGATGTGTGTGGAGTGAGATGTGCATTGTTGTCCCAAAGCTCCTCCCCCAAACATGACCTGGCAAAGTCGAATCCAGATATGGGTCACTCTGGCCAAGTCCCCATCTTGCCCTCCCTGCATCCCCCTCCCCACCCAGGAGACTTAATCCAGTACAGCAGACAAAGGGTGACTTTATTTTCACCTCACGTGATACATGCACAATGAGCATTTGCCTGTGCGTCCAGCAGAGTGCCAAGCTCTGGGGGCACAACAGTAAAAGATCTTGCTCTCTGTGTGCGTTTCATCCACTGGAAGGACTAGACAAGCAGAGACGCCCCAACCCAGTGCCCCAAATGGGGTAGGGGGGGTATGACAAGAGCCCAAAGGAATGGCTGGCAGGGACCATCAAGGAGAGAGGCTGGGCAAGGACTCTGGAGCACCTTCTGCAAACACAGTATCTGCCCTCGGGAAGCCAGCAGCTGCTTCTCCAACCTGCCAGCAACATTTGCCTCGAGGTCTGGAGCCAGCCGTCCTTCAACAAGGAGGAGCTCTTGGATGTCCCACCTACCTTCCAGAGTGTGGCCTCCCCTGACTCCTCAGGGCATCCCTTGGCCTCATCACCCCCTCTGAGTGCCTGTCGTAAGAGCCTTTCCAAACACAGCCTGGGAAAACAGGGAGCCAACAGATCCCAAGAGATCCCCAGGAAACGAGCTCTGTGGAGGACTGGCCTCCTTCGGGAATGTACTCTGAAGCCCTGACCTTTCTCCTGACAGACTGTGACATCTCTGGCCAGAAGGAGAGGAGAGATTGAGACCAGTCCATCTAAAGCCCAACTTCATCAAGGACTCCAACCTCTGCCCCTACATCTGCCATTAAGGAAGGTCCATAAGTGTCCAGGGGCTCTGGACAGGACTGAGGCAAGGCTGTGACACAGAGAAGGCTCCAGGTGGGACACACAGGGAAGGATCTACAGCAGCAAGAGAGAGACCCAGGTTATATGGCAGGACTTCCTAACATGGAGAAGAGGCCTGGGAAACGGACGACTCCCAGGGGACTCCTTACATACCCTGCACCCTTCCTCCAGGAAGGGAGTAAGGGGGCCTCTTCAGAATTAGGGAACGGACAAGCCCACCGGTGAGGGATCCTCTTGCCTCCCAAGTTCATAGACAAATGGGGATCAACTGGGGTCCCTCACCTTTGGGTACACAACAGAAAGAAGAGTGTTACAAGAGATCCAGGGAGACTCCACAGGCGGCAAGTCCTTGGTGATAGTCCCAGGGTCCAAGAACTTGGGCTGGGGCCCTAAGGCAATAAACTTGGCTTCTACTTTCTCTTCCTCCAATGTGCAGTCTCCAGGAGTCTCTCCTGCTGCTCCCTACAGTAGGACAGGCTGGGGCCTCTGGGCCCCTTCATTCTCAGCGCCTGTGGTCACCCCAAGCCCTCCCCTTCTCCCTGAGCTAGGCCTGGGTGGGGAGCACTCCACGCACACTCAAGGCGGGGCCAGATGCCCCACATCTCCGGCCTCATTTTGTCCCTGGGATTGGATCCCTGGCCGGGGCGGGGCCGGGCTGTCCCATTCCCGAGCAAGCCTTCTCTGCTGAGAAAACTGGCCACAGGCAGGCGTCCACTGAGCAGAGGACCAACCGAGAAGCCCCTAGCCCTTTCTTTCCACCTCAGTCCCGGCCCATGGCTCCAGGCCCAGGGCTCCCAGCCTCTCTGGATCTGTGCAGACCCCGCGCCCAGGCGGGGGCTGGTGATAGGGCGCCGGAGTGCGCGGTACCGGGCACGGTGCTCCTGCTGCTCGCCTACCTGGCTTACCTGGCGCTGGGCACCGGCGTGTTCTGGGTGCTGGAGAGCCCCGCGGCGCGCGATTCCAGCGCGAGGTTCCAGCGCGACAAGTGGGCGCTGCTGCAGAACTTCACGTGCCTGGATGGCCCGGCGCTGGACTCGCTGATCCGGGTCAGGGGCGAGCGGGGCGGGCGAGCGGGGGCGAGGGGACAAGCCCTGGCTGCGGCCCGGGCCCAGCCGGGAGCACTGAGGGCACAGAGAGGCAGACGGGGTCGAGGCGGGCAGCCCGGGGCGGGCGGGGGCAGGAGGGTAGGGCTGGAGCGCTGCGAAACGGGCGGCTGCGGCGGCGGGAAGCGGGAGCGGCGCGCGGTCAGTCCCCCTCTGGGGCCGAGAGGGCACGACCTGTCCCGCGGAGAGCGTTGCCAGGCCCAACACCGGAATTTGAGCGTGGGGACCGCAGGGGGCGCGCCGACTCGGGGCAGGGGCCGGGGCCGGCGGGGCCTGCCCGGTGCGTCCGCAGCTGGCCCGGGTGCTCGAAGGGCGGGGGAGGTGGCGGGGCGAGGATCCCAGCAGGCCCGCACCGCAGGGGTCGCACCGCAGGCCAAGGATGGAAGGGCAGGCCTGAGCCCTTGCGCAGAGTGCAAACATGCGAACTGGGGGCGAGGAGGGCAGGGGGCGACGGGCACTGTCTGAGGATGCGCTGCGTGGGAGTCGTGGTGGGAAAGGTTCAGGGCGCGCTTGTCCCAGCGGGTGAGTGGGATGGGGGCGGGAGCCGGAAGTGCGCAGACCCGCTCTGAGATAAGCAGAGACAGACACGCGGGCGCTCTTTGACTGATCCCGCTCTTTTCCGGGTCTTCGGACTCAGGGACTGGACGTGTCCGGGCCACGCACTGCTGAGGGGCTGGGGGACCCAGCGGGGCGTGGGCGAGGGGGAAGGCAGAGGAGGGTTCCTGAGAAAGGGGGGGCATCGCAGATGGATGGAGGTCCCCTTCCATTCCGGGCAGGCCACACCCGACTGGGACCCGCCTAGAATTGGGTGCTTTAACGTCCCGGGACCTCCCTTGGTCCGGGTACACAAAAGTATCCCTAGCCCCAAAAGCCCACCCGTTTTCCCCGCAGTCTTAGCGCCACCTCCATCCAGGAGGGCAGGGTCTGAGTCCCAGAGCTGCCAATCCAAAGCCAGTTCCCAGAAGGTCGCAGGGAAACGTTTCTGGGTGGGAAGTGACCGGGCATTGGAGCAGTGGTAGAGTCCTGAGGCCTTGCACTGGGCTGATTGGGCAGCAGAAGGACTGTCTCTGCTAAGGACCTGTTGTTGCACCTCTATCCCCCAACCTCTACACTTTCACAAATACAGCGGCACTGCCTGGTTCCCTATGCTGGGCAGCACCCCCTTAGCAGAGGTGGTGGGCCTCCCTTACCTGCCACATGGGCCCAGGGAGGCTGACAGTGATGGCAATGATAGCAGGGAGTGCTTCTGTGGAGCACTGGCTGTGTGCCAAGCATTGTTTCAGGCTATTAATTCCTATTTACTCCTTCCATCCTCACCTACCTAACCAGTAGGTACCATTTCATCATCCCATTTTCAAGATGAAGAAACTGAGGCTCAAAGAGGTTAAATACAACTATATGGCCCCATAGCCAAGGAGCTGGGTCTGTTAACCACCAAGATGGGGCTCAGTGCAGATCTGTGGGAGGGGTTCCCCAAAGCTCCCGCAGGGCCTTCATCTCCTTACCTTCCCCTTCAGCCTCTCTGCTCCCCTCTGCTACTTCACCCCTGCCTCAAGCATCCCGTGACTTCCATCATCCCCAAGATAAGGATCGGGCATCTCCAGCCCAGACCTCCCCCTGAGTACCGACAGATACATGCAGCTTCCCCAGATTCCCCCAACGTCAAGAGCAAGCAGCCTGCCTCCTCCCAGCCCTGCGCCTCCATCTATTCCAAATCTCTGTCTTTGGCCCCACATCCACACACTCTCACAGTGGTCCTAAAGGCTTTCCTCACTACCCACACCAAATGGGGCCAGCGTTCCAGGCTTTTGAGTATCTCCTCTCTGTTCCTCCTGGGCCACTCGGGGCCAGGTGCAGGTGACTTGCTCCTGCAAGTGTCTCTCCGCTTCTGGCCTGCTCACACCTCTGCTGCCAGCTGCCAGATCAAACCAGATCTTGCTTCCTCTTTGCTGGGTGAACTTGGGAGAGGCCTGCTGCCCCATCCCTGGCATGGCATAGCCAAGCATGTCCTAGTTCCCAATGGCCTTTCCGTCTCCCTGTACTAGATCCCAGCTACAGTCCTGCCTCGCAGGCTCTGCCCCTGCTGTCCCATCTCCCTGAATGTCCTTCCATCAGGAGCAGTCCCTTTTGACCCTTGAAGAAGGCCCAACTAAAACATCACCCATTCCATGAAGTCTTCTGCCCCTACCCCCATCAGAATGAACACCTTTCCTCTCTGCATTCCTATATTCCTATTATTAGATTTGTAACCATGACGATGATGGCAACCCCTCGCACTTACCATACACTGAATACCTCATTTAACCCCCACACAACTCTGTGAAGGAGGTGATATTAGCATTCCCATTTTACAGATAAGTAAACTGAGGCCCAGAGAAGTTGGGTATCTTGTCAAGGATCATGCAGCTCTACTGCCTTAATGCCCAAAGCATTAAGGGGAATCCGCACTGTATTAGTTAAGTCTGTCCCTGTCCCCCTGAGGACTGAGGGCCTGGTTCTTACATCTCCGGGTCCCCTAAGACACCAGGTGTCCTGCCTGGCACTGCTTGTTGCAAGGATGGGGCAAGCAGGGGAGGGGGGAACAAATGGCGTTCTTCAAGCTGGTGAGACTCCCTGAGCTGAGCTGGGCTCCAAGGGCAAAGAAGGGAAGAAGCTGTCCCCATGGCCCCTGCCCCTGGGGAGGCCCTGGGTGGAGGGAAACAGCCTCCTTGCCCTGGAAGGGCTGAGATCGAAGAGTGGTTGTGAGGATTGTTTGTGAGTGTGGGTGTGGGTGTGGGTGTGCACACACACTCACATGTATTCATGCATACACGTGTATATGTTTGGGGGCAGGGGCCCAGTTGCCCCCCAGAGCCTAGTGGTCACTGTAGCCTCTCCCCCAGGGCATCATCCAAGCATACCAAAATGGGGACATTGTCCTTGACAACACCACCAGCATGGGGCGCTGGGAGTTCATGGGCTCCTTCTTCTTTTCCGTGTCCACCGTCACCACCATTGGTAAGAGTGGGTGGGGCTGGGGAGGCTGGCCTCCCCTTAGAGGATGGGGGACAGGGGACCAGTGCCTTTTCGAGGGTTCCCTAGGGCCCCATGACTCCAAGTGTAGCTGGCCCTTGCAGTGTGGCCACTACCTATGGGCAGAATCCCAGGGTCCCCTTGGATCTGCGGAATCCGATTCTTTCTGCATTTCACCACGGTCTCCACGAGGCTTGTGCACAACGCTCAAGTTTGAGAGGCGCTGCCCTGGAGGGTTCTGCCTCACACAACCTCTCAGGAAGATGAGGGTCACCACTGTGCAGCAGTAAAGTTGCCTCTTGGCTTTATAAGTGTCCCAAGCCAAGCCCACCCAACACTGAGCCCAGGGGTGGAGGCAGGAAGCAAGGGAAAATTGGGAAGAAAGGAGGGGTAGAAATCCATAAAGAGCCTTTCCACACCCTGTTCTCGGCATTGGGAAAATGTGGCCATTCCTGGGGGCCTCACCCCAGCTCCTCACCAGCACCCCCAACCATCTCCAAGCCCTCTTTCTCCCTCTCTCTCTCCCGTTGCCCTAGCCCTGCCTTCAGGAGAGCAAAGGTAGAACTTGTCCTGGGAAGGTGCCTGGGGGATGTTAGGGAAGGAGAAAAGCAGCCTAGGTCCCTCCAGCTCTGAAACCCAGGAAATTACTCAAGTCCAAGAGTTCCATGCCCCCTGTCCTGTTGGGGTGGTGGGGGAGGGGTCACCTTGCCCTGCATGACACTGAACATACCACCAGGTGGCAGGCTAACACCACTGCTGGCCAGGGCCACCTCCACCAGCTCTGGGCCAGCCAGGATCCTCTCCCCAGCAACCAGTGTCCCAACTTCTGTCCTCCCCAGACTAGACTGGAGCCGGGCAGGAGAACCCAGACGACTCTCCATCTAGTTTAAACCAGCAAGTACTACTTGGAAGCAGGTCTCAGGGCTCTTCTCCACCTTGAGGCAAACATGCTTGGTAGGGGACCTCTCAGACTCCACTGACCCTGTGACTCTGGAAGGACTAGCCAAGATGGCATTTATTCCTCTTTACACCCCCTGGGCCTAATACAAGGCCCCGCATACAATAGGCACTCAACAAACACTGACACGTTAATGAATTCCAAAAGTACCCATTCCACCTGCATTCCTTGAGTCCCAGAGCTGGAGGGGACTCCTTGAGTCCCAGGGGATTTGGGGGCTCTGTGGGAAGCCCTCCCAATTGTATGGGGGTCTTTATTCTCTAAACCCTGCACCTCCTACATCCTTTGCCCGAGGCCTGGGACTTTGATTCCGAGTTTGGCAGCCTGTCCCTTCCTCTTGACTCAGCCTGAGCCAGCTCTCTCTAAAGGGAAGGAGGGCAGGAGAAAGGGGAGCCCACCCCACACTGTACATACAGTCTACTTGTTGTGGGGGCTTTTTTACAACTGAGATTTCATTTTGTCCATATGACCTCACCTCCAAGGACAGGGCTTATTATTTTCATGTCACAGAGGAGGAAACTGAGGCACGCAGAATTTGCTCAATTTCTCCAAGGTCACATAACAGTGAACAGCAGAGGTAGAATTTGAAACCCAGCTGGAGGACAATATTGCTTTTTTCAGTACTGTAAACGTTTAAAAGGTTTGCAAGATAGAGTGGGAATTCTAAACAACAGGAAGAAAGAGAAGACTATTCTGGGATGGACAGTAGGCAAGCTCATGACCCTGTGATTCTGACCACGCACGCACGAGCACACGGAGGGGATGCAGAGAAAGAGGAGGAGGGCAGAGACAGGAAACAGGTACCTATGGAACCCTCCACAGGAAAAGGAAGGAATAATCCGAGAGATACAGCAGAGGACTGCCTCCTTGGGGTCCCTCAGGCCCTGAGTCCAGCGCCCAGTAAGGGCTGTACTTTCCAAGACCCAAAATGAAATAGGGTCTGACAGGGCCTTGAACGCTTCTAGACCAGCCAGACAGGCCTGAGCCCTCACATTGTCCATCGCCTATGAACTGCATCCCTGGCTTTCTCATCCATTCACTCATCCAGCCATGCAGTAGCTGTGGGAGCCCGACATTTCTGGGGAAACAATGATGAGAGGAAACTGGCAAGTTCCCGCCCTTGGGGGATGGACATTCTAGTGCAAGAGGACACCCAAGAAACAAATAGATACATAGACAATATTCAGAGGGTGAGAGGTGCTTCAAGAAAAATAGTGCCAGGTAAGGGGGTCTGATAGTGATAGGGGCTATTGTATATGGAGTGGCTATCAAAGGCCTTGCTGGGACAGTAAACTTGAAGCAGAGACACGAACAAAATAAGGGAGAAAGCCATGTGAATATCTGGGGAAGCAAATGCAAGGGCCCTGAGGTAGGAGTGTGGCTGGTGGGCTTGGACAACAGGAAGGAGGACGAGGTGACTGGAAGGTGTTGGAAATGAAGGCTGACTTTGGACAAGGTGCAGGGCAGCCACACAAGGCCTTTTCAGGATGTCCTGGGGCTGGACTAGCAATGGGAAAGAGGTGACAGGTGGGAGGCCTGCTGAAGTGAGATGAGGCTTAGCTGGAGTGGTGGTCACCAAGCATGGAACAGGCAAGTGCAGCTTCAGTGGTGTCCGTTGATTGTGCTGACCTAGGGCTGGCTGAGAATGACAGGAAGGAGAAAATTCACTTAATGTCCGTCTGAGAAAGGGGGGAGCTTCATGGGAGTGGGGAGGGTCCTCCCAGATTCGGAATCTAAGTGCCATCATTCCATGGGTTAGAAAGACCCCCAGGGACAGAGGGTACTTGGAGGGGACCCACAGTTAGAGGAGGGGGGTCAGGAAGGAGTCAGGCAGGGAGGTTTACTGAGACACTTACCTCTCCCTGGATGCCCAGAGAGAGTTCCCTCCTTTAGGTGAGGGATCCTAGAAAGGCCAAGAGATGGAGGATGCTTGAGGCTCTAGAGGTGGCTGGTGATGTCCTCAGACCAGTGGAGTTGGGTCACCATCCATTCATTCACAAAGCTAACATCCATTTAGCACCATCTGTATGCTAGCTGCTTAAGGGGACTCCTTCTTATATGACACACCTCCATTGCCTCCTTTTGTCCCATAGCACACTGCGAGGCATATGTCCACCTCCCCACCTTACAGACAAGGACACAGAAGCTCAGAAAGGTCAAGCTGCTTGCCCAAGTTCCCACAGCCTTCAAGGGCTAGAGCTGGGTTTCAAACCCAGGAAGCACCGCTGATTCCAAAGCCCGTGTCCTAGACGAGTGCATGCTTTGGCTACTCTTGAGACCATGACGTCTGAGACCCCTCAGTAAGGTGAGGGTGGGGTAAACCACCAATGCAAGTGAGCATGAGGCATGTGAGAGTGCTGACCCAGTCGGGGGGTGGGGGGAGGCCGGGCAGGGTGCAAGACAGCTGTTCATCTATTTACTCATTCATTCCTGTATCATTCATTCATTCATTCATTCTGAATGATTCAATACACATTCCGTGAGCACCTATGGGGTGTCAGATCCTGGGCCAGTTGCTGAGAATATAAAGCTGATTATGACTCAGCCCATGCTTTTGAGGGGCTTATGAACTTTGAGGATGGCAGGCTTGGAAACAAGTCATTCTCATACAGCGGGTTACCCTCCAAGCTGCCAGAGTGCTGGGGGAGCCGCTTCAAGGGGGCCGCCATCTACAGACAGGCAAGGAGGGATGCACGCTCTTGGTAGAGAGAGAGTCATGCTCAGAACACAGAGGCACAAAGGAGTCTGGGGGTTCAGCAGGGCAGGAGAATGGCCAGAACTGGGAAAGTGGGGGACAAGATGAGCTTGGAGATAGGCTGGATGAGACTTTGGGCTTTCCTCAGCAGACTCGAGAAATGATGACAGCTCATAACCTGGGAAACTATAGAATGAGGCTCGCATTTCAAACAAGAAAGGACAGTGGTGCTGACCAAGAAGTGGGGGAACAGAGCTGGAGAGGAATGACGGGGAAGGAATGCCCAGACTGACGGACTCCCTTGGGGAACACCTCCCATCCCTTATCTTCATGACAAAGAAGATAGCCAACCTCCACCTTCCCCAGGGCACCTGGTGGTCCATCCACCACCCCTCACCCCTGAGGGGCTCGGAGGGAAGCCCAGGTGTTAGTGAGGGCCCTCTGGAAATCAGGTGTCAAGACAGAATCAGATGTACAAGAGATATATCGGGGGAAGGGAAGGAGGTCTTTGAAGGATGAAGAAGGAGCCAGAGGGAAAGATGGTGGGAGCCCCAAGCAAGACTGCCTGCTGGGGGTGCTACATGAGCCAGGGACACCCAGCCTGGGGGCCGCGCCCAGAGGCAGGAGCCTGGAGGCAGCAGGGCTGAGGCTGGAATGGTGTCTGTCCCTGAGGGGCAGCATCCGGAAGCTTCACAACCTTCTGTGCCCCTGTCCACATCCTTCTGTCCATCCACAGAGCAGGAAATGAAGGGAGAGAAAGGAGTTTCACACACACTGCTGAGCCTCCTGGAGTTTCCGTTTTCCAGTCTATAAAAAATGGGACATCATCTCCACTTGGAAGGCTGGTTGTGAGGGGGCACTGAGGGAAGGCAGGCACAGTCGTGGCCAGTAAATACGAGCTGCTAAGTCTGGAGGGGGTGGGAGTGAGGGCCCCTGGGGATGGAAGGGGCCCCTGAGGTGCCTCCGTCTTGCCTCACTCAGGCTATGGCAACCTGAGCCCCCGAACGATGGCCGCCCGCCTTTTCTGCATCTTCTTTGCTCTCCTGGGGATCCCACTCAACCTCGTGGTGCTCAACCGACTGGGGCATCTCATGCAGCGGGGAGTACAGCGCTGTGCCCGCAGGCTGGGGGGCGCCTGGCAGGTGAAGGGGCTGTGGGAGTAAGGGGAAGGGTGGGTTACTTCCAGGATGAGCTAGGTTCTGGGAATCGGGGGCCCAGGGGAGATGGGGTTACTTATGGGAAACAGGGTTCCTGGGGGGAAGGGGGATGTGGTGGGATTGGAGGCCACTGCCCAGAAGGGTATGAGCCAGCCATGATCTTGCCCAGGAACCTGGAGAACATAGGGTAGGTGGAGGGCCCCCAAGGGCAGCGCCTTCCTCCTGGCAGGGGCCGTTCATCCTGCTTCCAGCTCAGGACCATCCCCCACCCCCACCCCAGGCTGTCTGTTCCCCCAGCACTGGCTAGAGGCCACACGGGGGCCGGGGCTCTCTGTGCACCCACAGGACCCAACCAAAGCTCCGTGGCTGGTGGGCGCCGGCGCCCTCCTCTCGGGCCTCCCGCTGTTCCTGCTGCTGCCCCCCCTGCTCTTCTGCCATGTGGAGGGCTGGAGCTACGTGGAGAGCTTCTACTTCGCCTTCATCACCCTCAGCACCGTTGGCTTCGGCGACTACGTGATTGGTGAGAGAGCCCCGCAGGCAGTGGGAGGGCGGCCTGGACACTCAGCTGCCCAGCGTCCCCTCCCAAGCTCCACCGGCTAGCCCTGGCTGTGCGCCAGGCCCCGTGGGGGCTCACCGGCTCAAAGTCCAGAGGACTGGGTCCTTGGCAAGTTCGCCCTGCTCTGTTGTGCGATGAGTCAAGGTCCAGCTAAAAAGGACACCTGGAGTTTGACCCCAGGGCTTGGGGCTGGCTGTAAGTCACACTCCCGGCCTTCTTGACAGCACTGGAAACGTCAGAGGCTCAGCTATTGTTATGAGCGCCCGCCAAGTTAAGGGAGTCCCTGACCTCCCGCCCTGATCCTTCCTAGTTCCAGGGTCTGTCCTCCCCACTTCACCCTGCCCCATGAAATGCCAAGATTCCCACTCTCCCAGGGAGAGGGGCCATATGTTCCACACCACAGGCTGCAGAGACTAGGCAGGAAGAGTCTAGAAGACTTGGGAAATGCCAGCACCACCCTCCCACCCCCACCGGCCTCCACTTGAATACAATTAGCAGACAAACTCTGAATGCCCAGCAAAGAAGGGCTGTGTGGTCCAGAAGGCCCAAGGTGAGGTTCAAGCAATGCGCAAGGTGAGTGGCCCAGAGGCCACGGCCTTGCATAATAAAGCTGAGGCAGGTGCCCAGCAGGTGGCGGTGGAGGGACATTCTGTGGGGCGGCAGGGCGGGCTGGGCCCTCCACGCAGCCTCATCTGCCCCCTCTGCTGCCCCCATCCTGCTCCGCCTCCGCAAGGTTCACCACAGGAGCAGTGACCACTGGTACCACCCTGAGGGTCCTCCCTCAGATCCCTGGCCCTCAGTTAGGGAGGAGGCCCTGTTCTCCTTCCCATCTTAAGAGACCAAACCCAGCCTAGAATATTGAGATGAGGTCTTACAAAAGTAACAAGCAGCTAGCTCATCAAGGGACCTAGAGTGACAGTTGTTACGCATATTTTCCTGAGAAGGAAGCAGAAGCTCAGAGAGGCCAAGCCATTTGCCTGAGACTGCACAGCTAGCTCAAATTCTGATCCGTGGACTCTCAAGCTCATACTCTTTCCAGACCACCTCACACACCCCCTCTCTGGGCCTTAGTGTTCCTATGTATAAAATGGGGGACCTGGCTAGGTGATGGCCTCCTCACCTGTGTGCAGGCCCCCCTTCCCTGAACCTCTCCTTCCTTAGGTAGAAGGGTCCTGCGTCAGGGGCCAGCCACATGCTGTCCCTTCCTGATATCTTCCATCCTGGGAGGAAGCCTGTTGCTCTGGAAGGAAATCTTTGAGAAGATTTCCTCCATCTGGGTACAGTCCCATTCCTATCCTCAAAGTGAAGAGATGTGTCTGAGGAGAGCTGAGCCCACTGACTCCAAGGACCACATCTACACCCGAACAGCTCAGAGAGCAATTCTTGGATCTGTCCTCTCTTCTCTGTTCCCACTGCCATCTCCTTAGTCCAGGCAGGGCTGTTATATATGGCTGGTTACGCAGGTTGGGCAATGCCAACCCTAAGGGGTTGCCATTCACACAGAGCACAAGGGAATGGCACCCATTGATTTGTGCAGCCTATATCTTTGTCCCCCCGCCTTGGCCCTTGAGGCCTTTAAAATTGACAGGTGCTATTATGTCACCTAGCCAGCTCCTCTAAAAACCTTCAGTGTTTTTCCAGTCTTAGGATAGAGTCCAAACTCCATGCCTTGGCCTGTGAGCGCCCCCGGTGTGGCTAAGCCCTGCCTCTCTCTCTTCTCTGAGCCCTCCCTCTTCTACCCTGCACCGGGGCCACCAGGGGCTCAGCTGGAACAGCCTCAACCCGGGCCTGTGAGATGTGACAGGTCCTGCCTCCCGCACCACCAGAGCTCAGAGCATGAAACTTGGGATTTGCCCCAGTGGTAATCCTAAATCCTGGAGGCCTGCTGCTCTGAGGGTATCCAGTGCAAGGAGAGGGGAGGGAAAGTGGGATCAGGACTCTTTGCTGCAATCTTTTCATGCCTACTGATCAGCAGGTCCCCCAAAGTTTGGTCCAGGGTGGGGATAGCTGAAAGCAGTCTCCCCTGGAATCTTGCCTAGAGAAGCCTCTATGGGGCTGAAGGGGCATCTCTGTGAGGACATCCTCAGGTGCCACAGTCCCCTGAGGCAGGGTGGGCAGGAAGAGGGGCAGCTCTCTCTAGACACGGACACCCTGGAAATGGGCCTCTAGCAGCATCAAGGGAGGGCCAGTGACATCCACAAGCCCTCTCTGCTAGAGCAAGGAGGGCTGATCAGGTCACTGCTTCCTATGAGCCACCCTCTGGGGAGCGGCAGGGCCAGGGAGGCTGGAGTACGGGGCAAAGATTTCCCAGAGCGCCCTTCTACCCGACATCCTGACTGAGGAGGTCTGGTTCCGATCCACAAGAGGAACTCTTCAAGCCCCCGGGGCAGACCACTTCCACTGAGGGGCACCAGGCAGAGCTGTCCCCTCCACCACATCTCCAGAGATTTGCCACTTGCTCTGATTCCCTCTGCAGCATGACAGTGCCTTGTGGCAACTGACCACATGGAGAAGCGTTGAGTGCCTCATCTGCAAGGAGAAACTGAGGCCCAGGGAGGGGAAAGGTCCTAGAGCAGGCAAGCCAAGAGGACAGACTCCCAAGTCAGCACACCTGTGTTGCAGAATCTTCCACAGCTGAGTGGGGACACACCCCATTCCCACCTCTGCCCTATGTCTCTCAGTCTTCTCTGTCCTCCATGGACAAGGTCAAACCCTTTCCTTGGATAGGAATGCTGACGTCCATGATCTAGACTTGGGGTGCCCATTGTCCCTGTGTCAGCAACCATGGGGGTACTGTCTTCACAGCCACCCCTTTTTCCCCTGAAGGCTGTGGCCCAAGCAGCACCCCAGTCCCAGCTGCCTGCTCCTCCCTGGCCTCATACCCCCACATCCCCCAATTGCATTTGCAATTCATTGGAGCGCCTTGCCAGCTGCCAGATCTCCCGCCACTTATGATTTCGGCTAAAACAATGAAATAAAAGGGGAGAAGGACACCCCCTCCCCTTGGTTGCCAGGAGCAAGCCGAACTGGTAGGTGGCAGGGGCGGAGAGCTGGCTCACTGCTGATCTCATTTGGGACCGTCAGCGGAATCTTGGCCCCATAACCCAATCAGCTTAATCCAATCCTGGCTCCTGCCAGGCGGTGAGGTGGGGTCCAGGGCTGCGGGCTCATTCCTGAGCTGGGGCCCAGGAAAGGGACCCAGGCTTGAATGACAGGAACGAAAGGCTGTCTTGGGGGCAGCCAGACAGGATGGGGGTGGACAGAGGGGTAGGTGGAATGGGACATCAAGACAGAAAAAGATATTGAAGAAATAAGACAGATCTTGCCCTTTGAACAAAACCGATCTGATAAGCAAGATAGACCCCTGGCTAAGAGGGAAAAATTAAGTTATGGAGCAGGCTAAGCCTCCCAATGACCTCCATCTGTCCCTTCCCTCCACCATTACTGATCCAGTCCTGACTGTGTTGGGGGCACCTGTGTCAGGGTCTAATGGTGAGTAAAACAATCACCCAACTACAGGTCACCTGTTATATGCCAGGCACATTGCTGAAAACCTTAGATATTTGGACCCAGTCCTGGAAGGTGGACCTCTTGTTGTCTCTATTTTAAATATGAGGAAGCCAAGGCCCAGAGAGAATAAGCAGTTTACTCAGCAGAGCACAGGGGCTGGGAGAAAGTGTAACAAAGAAGGGCTCAGCCTCACCTCTGGGAGTGAGGGCTAGCTGAGAGCTATCTGCAAGATGAGGGGGAGTCAACTAGGCCAAGAGGAATCAGAAATGAAGAGCACTGTGAGCAGGGAGGGCAGCATATGCAAAGGCCCTGGGGCAGGACTGATTAGTAGATGGAGAAAGAGGGGAAGTTCCAGAGTGACAAGCGCAGCACTCAGCAGGAAGAGGTGTGCAAATCAAGGTCAGAGGAGTAGATAAGGCCATTGGGAGAAGAGTTTATGATTTCATCCCAAAAGCCAGTGGCTTGCGGAATAATCATCTTCCCCATTTCCCAGGTGAGGAACATTCAGACAGATGAAGGTCATACAGCTAGGAAGAACTGAGGCAGGATACAAACTCCACTGGTTCTATCTGTTCTTCCTAAGGCTCCTGGCAAGTTGCCTCTGTTTAGATATGAGGAAACCAAACACAGAGACAGGCAAACAACAGAGAGGGCATTCGAATCTCTTGGAAGACTTATTAAAACACAGATTGCCGGGCCTGCCCCCAGAGTTTGAATTTGGTAGGTCTAGTGGGGCTTGACCATTTGCATTTCTAGCAAACTCTCAGGTGATGCTGATGCTTCTGGTCCAGTGAATCCACTTTGAGAACCACTGGGATAGACCACAGAGTCTATCAGAAAGCCAAAGAGGAAACTGAGCTTCCAAACCCAAGGTGTCAACCCAGGGAGGCTTCTTAGAGGCCTACAGAGGTGGCCACAAGGCCAGCAATCTCGAACTTGAACCTTGAACTTTCCATATTCTGCTCATATGCATCAAGCCATGTGTGTCTGTTTCTGTTTGATATGACCTTCCAAGGCCTCCATCCTCTGACCTTGCCTCTCCCCACAGGGATGGACCCCTCCCGGAGGTACCCACTGTGGTACAAGAATACAGTGTCCCTATGGATCCTCTTTGGGATGGCATGGCTGGCCTTGATCATCAAACTCACCCTTTCCCTGCTGGAGACGCCAGGGAGATCTTATTCCTGTTACCACCACAGCTCCAAAGAGAACTTCCAGCCCCCAAGCTGGAGGCAGAGCCTGGATGGGGAGGCAGAATCCCGTTTACCACAGCCAAGTTGCCATCTGGAGGAGCCTATGGGAATCACACAGCATCCAGAACCCTCTACTCAGGTCTCATGCTGTGGAAAGGACAGCTAGTTCTACTCCAGTATGTGTTCATCTTCTTCCTCAGCACCAAGACCCCTGGTTTTAAGCTTAGCACATGACCACCCAGACTAAAGACTAAGTTTTCTTTTTTTTAATCTCCCTTTGAGGCTATTTGCAGCTATATGATTAAATTCTGCCCAACTGAATCCACAGAGAAGTATCCTGTGTGACTTAATGAATGTGACTTTTCGCAGCAGGGGGGAATGCACCTCTTCACTACTTCCTTTTTCTAGTTGGCTGCAATGCTGATACCATGGCTGGAGCTCTGGCAACCACATTGCACCATGAGGTTGAGGATGTGTCTGAGATTGGTGATACAGTAAGGTAGAAAGAACCTGGGTTCTTTCTAATGTGGATTGCAGAGCTACCATAAGTAAGATAGAAAGAGCTACCACAGTAAGATAGAAAGAGCCTGGGTTCTTTCTATGGATGGTTGCAGAGCTACCATAACAAATCTAGACTGAATACCTCCAGACATCATTTATATGAGAGAGAAATAAATGTCAGTCTTACTGACTATTGTATTGTTTGGACTTTTCTGTCACTAATAGCCGCAGCTAATTCTAATTGACATACACACCCAGAGATAAAGGTAGGCATCTGAGCCGGGAACATACACAGCGAGATGTTTGTTTCCCAGATGAGTTTGTTTCCACCCAGGACTCCGTGGTGGAAGGGATGGACTGAAGGCAGAAGTTCAAGTCCTCCTCCACCTCCAGAGAACTTCTAGGTAAACTCACTGAAGATTAGCTGATCATTGTCAGGGCTGAAATAACCAGCAGGCAGCTGGTCCCAGTTTGGCTGCTGAATCCTTGCCCTAGGACTTTCTCACACCAGGAAGGGGGGGGGGGGGGGGGGTTGGGGCGGGGGGAGCCAGGGGCAGGCCAGTGGGCTCCTCCTGCCTCACCCTGCCCCACTGCATTTGAGACTCCAATCACAGTTTGTGAAGCCAGGTAGGCTTTGTGGATGTAATTCAGTATGTAGATAGTCTCACCCTGAGCATTTCTGTCTGTTCATGTAGGATTGCTACTAAGGTGGCACACTATCACACTGAGGTCCCGGAGCCCAGCCAGGAGCCCCTGGCAGTACTAGCCACACCTGAGGGTCACCGTGGGAACCTGGGTTCTTGCCCTTGTGGATACCTGTGACTTTGGCTCGCTTCCACTGGGCTACATGTGGTAGCACAGGAACCCTGGGGGCTCCATGTGGGCCTCTCCCTGTGGACAAACACCTCGGCCTCAGAGTCCTCCTGAAAGTGGGTCAGGGGCAGCCTTTTGGCCAAGAAAGAAGGAGGGGTTGTTACACCATCCAGCTTACGCCATCTGGCCTGGCCCTAAGTGGACCAAGGCCAGACCCAGAAGCAAACACCAGCGAATAAACAACAGGGTCCATGCCCTCTTCCTAAGGCCCACAGGCTGGGCAGAGGAAAATGGAGGTGAGGAAGAGATTGCTGGCGATTTGGAACTGGCATCCTTGTACTTAACACACTCGGGAGAGAAGACCCATAACTCAAAATTGGGAGAAATAGGCCAGTGCTGGGTTAGTTTCCACGGTGCCAATTCTGCTTCGCCTTGAGCCCCTCCCTCCCAGGCCTGGTCTCTTAGACAGAGTCCCTCTCACGCGGATTAAGCCCTTTACCCCACGGACACCCACACCCATGCTCCCAAGGCCTGCGCTTGGCGGGGAAGAACAAGCCCGTGGTACGCATGGTGAGGCAGAGGAAGGCTTCTGATTGGCCAGTTGCCTGCAGAGGAAGGCTTCTGATTGGCCAGTTGCCTGTGGATGTCCACTCCACAGCCAATGAGAGGAGTCGCTGGAACCTGAGGTACAAATCTAGAAAGCGAGAGGAATAGTGGGGTGGTCACATTGATGAAGATGGAGCGGTGTGAAGAGGGAGGAGAAGCCACAAGAAGCCATGTTGGGAGCCCCTGGGAGAGGCCTGGATCTGGGAAAGGCGCCAGAACGGAGTCAGACCTCAGCACAGAAACCATAGACTAGAACGGGCAGCGAGGTCTTGCACTCGCAGACGAGAGGGAGGGGAGGGAGGCGTGCGGCAGCCAGAGAAAGCTGTCCTGCGCCTGCGGCCAAGCAACCAAGTCCCTCCATCGCTCGCACCACCTGGGCCCTGAAGCGGAGGGGGAGCGGGCCCCTCGGGGCAGCAGAGCCCGGCTGTTCAGGGTGCGGAGCTGGGAGCCAGCCTACCTGGCTCACCGTCTCGGTGACCTCTGCAAATCCCTTCACATTCTGCATCGGCTTCTTCTTCTTCCGCAAAGGGAGATAAGAGCCGGGCTGACGGCCCGGGCTTCGATGAGCGTGTCAAGTAGCAGCAGGGTGTGCGTCATCCCCGAGGAGGCGGCGGCGTGGTGCGCATCTCAGCTTCTGGCGTCCCACAGCGGGCCCGGGGACAAGGCAGGAGGCAGGGCTGGGCGGGCTAGTGGCCACGCGGCACGCAGCGCCTCCGCTGACCCCTCTCGGGGCTTAGGGCTGGGCCAGGCGGTGACGCAGGACTCAGCCCCGCCCGAGTGGGCTTCCAGGCTGACACCATCACGCTGCTGGCCAGCATGAGGGGGTCTGGACACGCATGAGTCATGGAGGATCCTCCTGGCAGAGGCTGGGAAGTGCGTGCCCAGTGTGTAAACGCAGGGTCGGGGGACGGGCCCCCGCTGCTCCCACAAGGCGGAAGGGCAGGTGGGCCCCTAGCACCAGTGGCTGCCCTATCTCTGCTCACGACAGGCTGTCCAGTTCTGTGGCCGCAGCGCGGCCAGGGCAAGATCGGACTCACTATCACATAGTGGTTTCCTTTAAACCAGCGATATTCGTCATCACCACGTCATCATCACGGACATCATCATGATTTCCTAACATATATGGGGTGCTTATTATGCGCCAGGCACTGTTTTTTGTAAGCACTTTGCTCCTACTGAGTTATTTACTTCTCCCATCAACTCCCAGAAAGGGACTTCTCTGTAACGCAGTTTTAAGAGGGGGAAATTGACATTTTCACTGGATGCAAAGCAAAGGCAGCCGCCAATCCCGTGGGTGAGCAGGAGAGTAAGGGCCTGGCCCCAGGCGGGGAGACCCTCCCTTTAAGCCCTGTGGGGTGTTGATCAGCCACTTGCCTTTCTGTGCCTCAGTTTACTCATCTGTACAAGATGAGGCTGGCTTCAGGGAGTCTGCATCTTACTGGCTGTAGTCCCTCAGTTTTTGACTAGATTGTTCTAGTTGACTGTTTCTCAGGTCAGTTCCCAGCCCCACCCATCTCCCGGGCTGTCTTAAGCATTTAGGTCCAAGGAAGTCTCACTCTGTCTGTGTCTCCAACTGTCTCTCTCTCTCTATCTCTCTATCTCTCTCTCCCTCCCTCCTTCACATACATGCACACACACACACACTCACAGGCACACAAAGTTCCCCAGGTCCTTCCCTCAGGGCCCCTCCAACACTGGCAGCCTGGCTGTGAGAGGGGTCTCCATTCATTTTAGGAGCTGGGCCAGAAAAGGCTAGACTCAGTAGGAACCAGAGGACCCCCACAGTCTGGACAACAGCTATGCTGAGACTCTCCCCATCCTCAATTCCCTCTACCCTTACCTCACTGGCTCCCCACCCCTGGGCTCCAGGCCCAGAGAGCACTGACCTGAAGTTGACCCTCTGACAGCCCCCGTCTGCTCTCCCTAAACCACCCATACTGCTGGTCTCTGGGCCCCCCACTCTACTGTCCCTCCCACCCCCACACCCTAGATGCTCAGTGCTGGGCCCTGGCCCCACTGACCCTCCCTCCTTCTCCCCCATATACTGTGCTGTACCCTGTTATGTCCTACCCCTCTCACCCTTTGCTAACCAAAACTCATCTCCAGTTAAAATTGTTCCTTGGGGTTAAGGAGACAGCAATCTCCCTTCCACAAGGCCACCTCAGCCCATCCCTAGGGTCTTTGCCCAAGATTCCTAGCCCACCCTGACTCCAGTCACAACACCCCTCCCAATCCCCATGGCAACCTTGGCAAGACCTGGAGGCAAGAAGGGCAACCAGAATTAGACACTTCCCACCCCAGTAATGGCTTTTGTGGGGAGCTAGGGATATTCCCCCTGCCACAGCAGCATATTATCCAGGAGTGTGAAAGCAAAACCATTCAGACTCACTATCCATCAGCCACTGAGCCCCCTGCCCCTGCCTGGTTCTGGGGTTGGGATCCTATCCAGTCTTTACCCACATTCCAACCTTTCCATGTCTTTTCAGACCAACTTTTATCTCACTTACTCTTCCCTGGATTCGGGCAGACATAAATCTATATCCCGACTCTGTCAGTTACTTGCTTGCTGTGCAACATTTGAGAAGTCACATAACATCTCTGAGCCTAAAATGGAAACGCTGATACCCTCCTCAGGAATGTTTGGATGAATGTAGGGGAATGAGTAATGAATGAGGAAGCACCCGAGTTGGATCTGCTACCTCGTAGGGCTCAGAAATATTTGTTCCCCTCCCTTTCTCCTCTTGGCCTGAAGCTCTCCCCCGCCCCACCCTCTTTCATCAGGCAGCTCATGGAGCCCTTCTGCACCCTTGCCTTTGAGAAGACCTTCAAGACCCTCCCACCCTTTGGCCTCCAGTGGACTTGGGAGGGGCAGGAAGTGAGGTGGGGATGGAGGAAGTACATTAGCCAAAGCTCTGTGTGGCAGGAGACAGCGTGTAAAGTGAGAGGGTTCCTGTGTGTATTGGAGGAACGGCTTCCACTCCGCCCACTGGCCGACCTCCTGGGTCAGGTCACTTCCCTGAGGGGTGGGTGTGAGCACTCCTGGATAATCTGTTTTGGCTCCTTCTCCCCATGCACTCTTAGACTTTCTCTGAACCCCTGAACTTCTCCGGCAGGGGACAGGGTCTGAGCCCCATGGGCTGAGTCACCCAGGCTCCTTTGGTCTTTGGCTTCTGCCTTGCTGAGGCCCGAGAGCACAAGTGATGGGAGGGGAAGAGGGGAGAGGAGTCAGAGTGCCTGACCCCTCTCCCAGCAGGCCCTGGCTTTGGCAGTGCTATGCTCCTTCCCTAATGGCACAGCGCCTGTCCTGCTGGCGCCCTTCCCAGGGTAGCAACACTGACTGTGGTTCTAGTAAGAGTGCCCCCCACCCCACCCCTTCAGGACCCAGGGTGGTAATGACTCCCCATGGTCTCTAGTCCCTAAAGCTGCACCATCACCTAGGCCTGCCCACACTCTCCATGCTCCCTTCTTTATGCTTTCTGCAATGAACCCTCAGGAAGTACTATCTGCTTCCTGCAAAGACCCAACTGATCCGAGCACCCAGTTCATCAGCCACTCCCCACCCCCTCCCTGGACCAGACTGCAGCCCAGCTGGGAGATGGAAGCTCAAAACACTGAATTAAAATCATGGAGGAATCCACCCAGCCTCCCTGATCCAGGAGAGGCTCCAGCTCTGGCTCTGGGTAACAAGAGTGGAAACCCAGGCCAGGGGCCAGGCACACCCGGTCACCCTTGCCTGCCTCTGCCTGG